TCTAGTAGAAACTAAAATTAAATTAAATAACTAGACTTAATGACATAACATACTTAAATTGGATTTATAGCACAATGAGCGACAGTCAAGTAAGGAAAGAAATAAAAAGCTTGCTCCGTCAGAGCGTGCATTTTGTACAATGCAAGAAATCAGACTACGTTGTCCAAGCCATCAGTAACAAGCAGTCTATCTCGCATCATTGATATCAAGTCTTGATAGGAGTTATACCTCTTGCTCCACAGAATGGACTCCTAATGTTTTCCTGAGAGGATGAAAACGGTGTTAAATACTCTGCCTATGACGGTTTTTATTTTGTTACTGATTGAGTAGAGGTCAACAAAAATTGAAAAGGCGTCAATTTAAAGTCACTGTCATGAGGGGTAAGAATGCAGTATTGGGAAGGGAAATTAACTACAAATTTTTCAATCTTCTTGTTCCTCTCCCTTCTCTTTACTACCACGTTTCTACTCCTCATGATGCTGATCCTAACTTGACCCTCTTTCAGTTTTATTTGAGCTCTACTCGTTCTTGTCAGTTATGTCACTCAATATACTTATTTAATTTTATCCCAGTGTTTACCCGGATAACACTTTTTGTACTAAGTAACTGTTATCAAAAACTTACAATTTTAATGACGTATCTTTGAAAACGTACCTTTTCGTCTTCACTTTTGTCTTCACACAGATACAAGCAATCGGTAGGGATCCCTTTGACGTAGAATTTTAGCATTTATCGTTCATTCAATGTATAATGAGCTGCATTTCTCAAACGTCTCCATTAAAATAACCATCTAAACGCAAGAGAAAATATTGTGCAATGCTCATAATTACTTTTACCTGACTCATAGAACTTGTGCATATGTTTGTTCGATTTTTGTCAGGAGTCTATACTCACACTTGTATGATTTGACGAGACTAGTAATCTACTTGCATAAAGTTTATCAGAAAGTTCAGTCGAAAATCAAGTATACTTCTGATTTCCACTGCTACATTTGACTTGGTTGGTAACTAAGTGTTTGTACTACTATCGCATAATCACTTACTGCTCTTCTGCTATGGGTTTTGTGCTCATAAAGACTCTTTATTGGAACTTCTGATTGATGCTTAATTCTTTCTCCTCATCTATCCAGGGAACAGGTTAGTAGTACTTAGAACAGTGAAATTGTTTTCTAAATTTGGTAATTAGCCTGAGGTCAGATATTGGTGGTCCAGTGTTAAAGTACTCGCTAGCCACGCCAGAGAGCTAGGTTCGACTTTCAGCTGATGCACTCCTAAACATCGCCTAGTTTGCTAACCTTCTGTAAGCCTAGAAATGGAAGGTTAGTCGTGAGGTTAGCAACCCCACTCCTTAAAGACAATATCACTGCTGCTGAAATTGCAGCAGCTTGAAGACTCTGTGTTCCACATGTGAATGCATAACACTAAACATTATCCCATTTTTAAAAAAAAAAATTTCCATTACTGTTGCCTGTATTAAGGGTATTGCGTAAACTGATGTTTAAATATAAAGTTTTTTTGAAAAGAATCAAACTCACAAAGGGCCTTGAAACTTCTAAAGTGAAAGCATGAGTGTTTTTTTTTAAATTCCTACATGCCCTACAAAAATCAATAATATTCCAATCACACTTATAAGGCAGCAGCAGCTGATGATGATAATGATAAAGCTGTGGGCGTTAACCATTATTCATTCATTTTGCTTTCTATACGTTTATATTAAAAACTTTAAAAAAAACATGTTATACTGCGCTACATTTATCTCGAATATTTTCTTTTTATCAGTTGAAATGCCATCATCAATCTATGTGTATGTGTGTTTGTTTTATTGTACTTTGGAACTTAATAATTGCAATAACAAAAACAAAATAACACAGTAATAAGGGTTGAATTGTCTCACTATGTAGGGTATTTTTGATTAATTAATTAATGAGTAGGTCAGGGCAGGATTCGAACCAGCTGCCTTCAAGTCACTTGTATGCCCGTGTATCAGCTGATGAACCACGGCAACTAAAGGGTAAACAGGTCATTGTTTCACTACAACCATCCTATGGGTAGTAATGCCCAGCTGTCAGTGTGAATGAGTAACATGTTACCACTGCCTGTCTATCATCACACTTATTAATTAATTAGCTAGTTAGTTACACGAAATATATGCCTTAAATATACTACTTCGTTTCCTTCTAAGAAAAATTTGGTCTTTCATACGTTTATCGTAGCAACCATATATAAGCTATTGTGAGGGTTGGTTTTGCGAGGGAGATGACTTGATTTTCTGCAGGTGTACAGAGACGATGTGCAGTGAGTGAGTACAGGTTGTGATAAATAAAATACAGAGTCTTACTTACATAGACTGCTTAACGATTGATCATGATCAACTAATTTCATTTGGAGAACCATAGGAAACCAAGATGTACTAGACAGTCGTTTCGTCCTTAGTTGAGACTTTTCGTCAGTACACACTTGTGGCTCCCACAGGAATCGGTCCTAGAACTTTCAAGTTTCATGATGAGTTCTTAGACTATTTAACCACTGGGACGGAATCTGTCAGACCATCAAATGTAATGTATTCTGGATATACATTGTTGATGTTGTATCGGATCGCCTTTTAACCTGAAGGTCCTGGATGCACGCTGTTGAAGAGTCCCAAAGTCAGACTGAAAAGCTGTCCAATACTCATTGGTTTTCAATGGCTGTCTAACTGAAGTCAGTTTGTGGCCAATCCTGAAATGATACAAACCCCCTGCAAGCTAGCACTTGAAAACTAACAATCTAGAGAGATTTGAAATTGGTTTCTCCTCTCTCGTATTCGTATTACCGCTTCAAATTAGTTTACATCAACCACTCCCTGCCGTTCTTATGTGCCCATGGGTCACTTCTATTTATATGACAGTCAAAATTTGCCGTGGGAGGGGGGTTTGGTGTCTGACGAAATATCCACTTAGATAGTCAGAAAAAAGCTTTTCAGTCCAGACAAGCAATGCAACTCATATCAGAAATTACTTGTATCGCGAAACAGTGTACTTTGTCTTACTTTGGCGTGTACTACTGATGTGATTTATCAGTAGTATATAAAGAGACATTCTTCGGCATAAAAACATCAAATAGCGGGGATATAGATCTGGCGTCAGAGAAAGCGAATGTGATACAGCATCGTGGAGATACATGGGAGACGTGAAAGGAACACAAAGGCACAGAATATGAAGGAAGACCAGAAGTAGCACAACACGGAAGATTGGCTACATAGAGATACCAAATCCTCAATAAACATTCCTTTACCAAGTCTCTCGTCTTCAACTGTTACATTACTGTGCTGCACTGTAAAATATGGCTATCGGTGTTAGATGCACTAAGTCTGAAACTATTTTATCATCATTACCTCTTTACTATTATGTGTTCGATGTTAGTATACAGTACTTGAGAAACGCTAATCAGTGGATGAAGTTAGAAACCCCACAGACTGAGGACAAAGAAAACTAGGACCTATGTCCACCGTCGTCTTATATCACAGAGTTAATAACAACGAGACATTTGGATTTTTTGTAGTGTCTAATTCTTTGTTCGCTTTGCTTTCTTTTTTTTTTTAAAGTTTTTGTGTCTTCAAGTATTACATAACTGTTTAATTCTTATTCGTCTTTCCTCCTTTTATGCCACCGTCTATATAAAGTTTAGTAACTTGACTAAGCAATGCGTTTCTCTATATGTTATTTACGTTGACTAACTCATTGTGAGCTGCAGTCGTTTTTTTTTTTAATTTCAAAATTACCGTTACTGTCATATTGTTTGATGATAACTTAGTGTCTTGTGTCAATAACACAATGATATTTAGAAGAAAAAGAATTATGAATAAGCCAACACGATATTTTATCAATGTAAGAAAATAATTCAGACAGAGTTCTAAAGTATATATACGAGAAATTTATGCTTTTCATTGGTTTAGTCAAACAACAAAATTGAGTCAATAGTCAATATTTCATTCTACTTTATAATACACTCATTATTACTGTTATTGCAAAAGTTATTCTGAGACTCAACAACTACACCTCTTTTTTCTGTTGTATGTCTAAAAATGTTCGTTTATTATTCTTGAACTAAACATGACTGACCCTCAGACAATAAAGTAAAATGTAAAGAAAAAAATTGAACATTTATTGTCTAGTGATAAAAGTGATAAATCTCAGACCTCATTCTGCATTATATACAAGAAATCAGTCAGTATCGATTTTCATATAATAATTTAAACTAAGTCAAAGATAACCATAAGGTCATAATTTCAAGAACTTGCCTGTATTTCTTTTAGCCTTCAGTAAGTTGACTCATTTTTGCTTTAAAGTAGTTAGTTTCTATTATATAATAGGTCAAATACCTCAAAACTTACTCTGACTACTTGGATTCTAGCCACCAAAGTAGGATAGACGATTTTCAGACAAAATCTTTAGATCATAGCTTAGTGTCTGCATCTACTGGTTGATGCCTTTATTCAGTTGATGGTGTCTAGCAATGGAGTCTAGTACGTGCGTTTTCCACTGTTTGGAACTCGTTAGCTGGGCGTATCTGTACCCAAATGAGACATTTGAAAATACGGCCTAAGATCTTGGTGGGAAGAGTATCACTCCCAAAGATGCAGGTATACCCAACCAATGAGCTCCAAACAACATAAAACTGACGTACTTTATCCTACTACTAGATATTACTAATCAAGTGATATCTAAGTAATTTCAAGGCGTCGTTGAACCATCTCTAGTAGAAATCCATCTGTCATCAGTGACGGAGTATTTCCATCCAGTAAGATCAACCTCTTGGAGGTTCGAAAATTTATCTTAATAAATTAGTGTTACTACGTGTTTTGAATTGGCGACAGTTGAATAAACTGTAATGTGGTGCCACACTTCATACTGTAGAAAGCAATACTGATGAATACAAACTAATAATTGCATTTTTCATCTGACATAAATTGTCGTCTAGTTTTTATCGCTCCTCCTCTTGTCTCTTGCTGTTTGTCTTCAGGAATTCCCTTAATTTTCCAGAAGACATCTCTAATAAACTAACTGTGCAAATTCCTACGAGTAGCTGATATATATGATCGATAGTGGAATCAGAACTATACAAACCTAATGCTCAGAGGAAAACAATTCTAATTGCCAATCGCAAAGTCAACCACAACCATAACAGATTACCGACAGATGAGAAGAAGAGAGAAATGGAGATCTTTGCTATGAGAGCTTTTGCTGTCTGAAGTAACTGATAAAACACTTAACAGCGAAATTCAATATGTCGATTTTGAGTGACCTTGATAAATGCTAAATTTACTGGTAATTTCAATGTGCTACTAACCAATGAGCGTTCGATTTTCACAGAGAGTGGGGATTAAAAGTGATGACCCTGTAAAATTGAGTTATTTTAAGACTGAGCAAAATTAGAGGTATATAAGAGCAATATAACTGTATATTCTTGGATTCGATCCATCTGGTGATTTCCTGGTAGTTCTAAAGTAAAACAAAACATCTATCCAGTGCTCTCTGGTGGTCTCCAACATCTCTCAGGTTGAATAGAAGTTTCTACAAAAGCTATGTTTCGGTAGAAATTCTTTAGTTTTCAGTAGTAACTAATTAAGAAAACAATGAGTATTTAAAATTGTTGTAGGAAATTAAATACCTAGGCATCATTCTATCTGCTGATCTTTCCTGGTCATCTCATTTCTTGATGACTTCTAAGGAAATATTCCGTCTTACCTTCTACATCAAGAAGTTAAGACATTCTGGTAAAACCCAACCCTTACTCCTTCAAATCGTTAACTCTCGCATTCTGCCTATTATTCTCTATTGTTTCCCCTTAGTTTTTCCTGGGCTACTGAAGAAAGACTATACCTTACTATGTAGGATGTTAAAGGTTGTCAGCAGGGTAAGCTACGTGCCACTTAACCAGCTTGTTAATATTCTAGTTGACAGCCACATGAACTCATGTGAAAAATGGGCAAAATCCATTTTATCGAACTCACACCACCCTCTTCATTCACAACTCTGCCCTTGTATCTCATCAGGGAAAACCAGAAGCCTACATAGAAAAGTATATGCTCGCACTAGTAAGTACAAAAACTCAACCATACCCTACTTAGCTCGTGTTCTATGCGATAAAGAAAGCATTAGGCGTGAAACCTTTAATTTATTAAATTGTCAGTAGAATAACTGGATCTCGTCTTTCCAACTCATATCATTTATAGATATAACGTTTTCTTTTTTTTCTTTCCTTTTCTCTCTCTTTTTTCTCTGTTATATGCAGCTTTGTTTCTTTCTTCTGCTTACGCCAGTAAATATGCTAGTATCTACTTTTCAAACGCTCTGTTCACTTTTGGCTTCGCTAACGACATGCCAATATTTTGTTGTCATAATGAACTGAAATTTCCTTAATCTATGTAGGATTCTATTTATTGATAATGTACAAACTGGATATAGTAGTTACTGTAGTAAAATGCTCAAAATTCTATTCTGTATCACAAGTTCTGTTTTGGAATAAAGCAAATTATTATTATTGTTTATTTTGTTGCATGAATTGAATATGTAGTTTGATTTTCTTTATCTGCTCTCTTGATAACGGAAAACGTTGTCTCAGTGATAACGTCAGTCTTAGTAAGTCGGTTATGTTGAGAAGCAGTAGAACTCAGAATGAGCGTTTCGTCGTGCTTTGGACTCCTTTTCAGCTGGATATTCCTACATCCCCAGTGAGTGACGGGGTTCCCAGTGAGACTCGAACTCAGCACGCATTGTTTCAAATGCTAAAGCGATATCCACTTGGCAACGGGAGCCATCTCTTGTGCCTCGGGTATCAGATATTACTCTTATTTGTATTTCTTGTTGATTGTTCAAATCATCATCAAACCAAGTAACATACGTTTTAGTCTTCAGATATCGTCGAAGCGTATGTAGTAGGAGACGACATAGACATCGAGCCTTTCTGTCCAATAAGATCAGTCACTGAAGCAAATATTAGTGTCAGTCTGTCTTATCAAAATGATGATTGTTTTCCTTCAATGATTTTTTTTTCGCTTTAAAAACTATGTATGTTTATTCAGTGCATATCCAAACTTTATGAATTCTGTTTTGTTTTTGTTCACCATTCATAACAGTGTTGTTAATTTGTGTCCAAAATTCTGTTTTGTTTTGTCAACGTTAATCTATGATTTATTGTATTGTCATTTGTCTGTAGAAATATGTGCCCTAAGCTATTTTTGATTTCTCATCACATATACGCACACACACACACACGCACAAAACAATCGTCAATGTCAGTTGTGAATGCCTGATTAACTGATGTGCTTTTACTGTATTTATTTTGTTTATTCAACATCTGACTCATTTATTCATTGGCTTTTATTAAATATCCTTACGACCTCCTACCTCCCGTACTTTGTTGTTTGACTGAATGTATGTGTTCAGTGTTTTCCTTGTTATAAGATAGTTGTAGTGATAGCAGTGGTGTGTTTCGTTTTGTACACTGACAACTTGTTGTTTGGGGGCCTCTGGACGGTGACGACCAGCGATTTAAGACGATTGGTGATATGACTCAAAATGCTTGTCAGTGGCGCAGATGCATTCACTCTTTGTCATCTCCCATATCCACTAAAGCCTATTATTTTTTTTATGTCACTATTTTTTTTTCTCCCGTACATTTCTTCTCATTATAGTTCATTTGAATCTCTCTTCTGTCTATCTTTTTGTGCTATATGGAGTGTAGCAACTTGAACTGTTGCACTTCTATGCATATTCGAGTGTTAGTTTGTAGGGATTTGATTGGTTACAGGATTTTCATCATGAGCTGACATTAGTTAGAGAACCATTAGAAAACCTAGGAGTACTGGACGGCTGTTTCGTCCTAGTTTGGGACTCTTCAGCAGTACGCACCCGCCGGGATTCGAACCCAGGACTTACTGGTTACAAGGCGAGCTCGTATACCATTAAGCCACTGGGACTCGATTCAATGGCCCATGAATTATAACTTCTGCCAATTGTCCCCACATCCGACCTGCTGCACCCTACTGGTCACGACTTCCCGATGGAACCCCAGGTAACTACCTACCTGAATAGGGCCAGTCGCTAGTGAGCATCTCATTGATATTCAAGTGGGGCATTGGATCGGGTCCCAGTGGCTTAATGGTATACGAGCTCGCCTTGTAACCAGTAAGTCCTGGGTTCGAATCCCGGTGGGTGCGTACTGATGAAGAGTCCCGAAACTAGGACGAAATAGCTGTCCAGTACTCCCAGGTGGTTTTCCAATGGTTCTCTCACCAATGTCAGCTCATGATGAAAATCCTGTAACTTCTGTGCATAGTTCTGCGTTAAAATACAGTTAGTCATTGCGTCATCGCTTTTGTATTCATTTGGTCTGTAAATAGTGGTCATAGTATTTGTTATGAAGAAAACTTATGCTAGAAAATTACATTAAGTTAACTGGAGTATCACGGTTTAAATTTTTATTCATCAACACAGAAGTACTCATGCATTGCATAACTACCAACAAGAACCGAACCAAGAATCTTCTAAATAACCTCAAAGCAACTTTTCTCATTATTTAATTACAAGTTCTGCGCGTGTATCATGTTCACAGTTTGCTTATGAATTGTATTCCTAGTTTTGTGCAGGCAAAAGATTATTTACTGGGTCTAACTGCCAATTGTTTTTACCAAATATGAAGCTAAATTCACCCGTGTTAGTTAGGCTGTCTATCTTAGAATACACTTTATTGACAAATTTACCAGTTTTAGAGTTTCCTTACCATGATTAGTTGTGAAGGTCATTCAGCAAGTCGTTGACGGTGGTCGCCATAGTTTAATTCCTTGCATAACTCTGTAAAGTGATTCATTATTTTATTGACTTAGAATATCTCCATACCTTCAGTCGATATTCTGCAGTAGGCAATAATATGTAACATACTGAAGTCAAATACTTTGTTGGATAAGTTCCTCAAATACATTCTACATTAAGGGGGATGTTACAAAACGGATACTGCGATGTAACTGGTGTCATACTTCTACCTTTTGTAGTTCTCACTGAATTCTTTCACTCATGTTTACAATGTGATCTCCAATCTAGGAGACTTTTTCGTGGCGTGTCTCTAAATTAACTTCAGATAGTCGGAAGCGATCGTCAGGAAACCACATTTCGTAAAGCTTGAATGTTATAACCAATCATATAGTATTAATTCAAAAAGTGCACTGTGATAAGTGTTTCTTGGACTGAAGGTAACATTACAAATTGACTGATTGAATTCAATCACCACCACTGGTTACTCCACAGTGATCAATCAATATTATCAGCACAAACCTACAGGAGGTCAGTGGTGCACTCGGATAGACTAATGGTAATGTCTTTGGCTGAGGCACTGAAAGACTCAGGTTCGGATGTCAGAAAGACATTCTCTCCTTCACAGTAGCTAGCAAGCCTTACTGACGAGGGCTAATAAACGCAGAACTCGGGGTTTTCTACTGATTGCATAGAACTACCTGAAGATATTAAGTTTTATTACAATATTTGTATTCAAGTTCGAGTAAAGTAGTCAGTTTGTGGAGAGAGTTACAGTCTGCTTCTTCGTATATAATTGATCAGTTTAAAAACGATTCTTATTCATAACCTTTTAAAGTATTCTGTATTTTTAATGAACCGTGAAAATGAATATAAATACAAATAATATAAATATTCTCCTCTTAGATATGCGAATTTTTGACTATTACACTCCACTGCCCTACACGAAACTGAAATTTGTGTACCTAAATTTCTAAGCTGTCTGAAAGCGAAAACTTTGCATGACTGAATGTGTGTTTCCGTAATGAACAAAATTTGATTACAAATTATCGACTTTTTCCTCAATTACTTATAATGAAGTGGAACTGCCTATAGTCATCTGCAGTAATATTAATCACCCTAGCCTGTTTGAATGGACAAGATGACGTTTCCGTTTATCAGTTCTTCCGTCTGCCAACTTCCCTCAATAAGAACATCGTTTACTGGAAAACACGTGGTTGCAGCTGATATTTCTCAAATAAAAAGCTAAACAAGTATCCTTTAAGTTAACGATTGACCTCCACTAAATATAAATTTATTATTATTATTTCCTTCTGCAATATGTCGGCAGTCTTATGGCAGGATGCTAGTTAGCCACGCGAGAGGTGTGTGCTCGGTTCCCCACCAGAGCACGTCACTTAGTTTACCAGCTGGTCCGAAAAAGAGGGAGCATTAGGATGATACTAAACACCCAAATCTATAAAAAAGCACCATCACTATTGGAACTTCAACGCTTGAAGCCCTGTATTATGCTCGGAACCCAAGGAATAGAAAAATTTTTTTGTGTATTAATTAGTTTTGTCTTTTATTTAGTACTAAAATTATGTCTGTTTTATTTCTAATTTTCCAGAAACGTTCTAATCCCAAGATAATGGATGCATGTGGTAATATCATTTTAGAGATATGCCAACAATTACCTGGTATGTTCGTTTCCCACAAATAAAAGAGAATATTTTAGCTTTTGTCTGAAAATTAAAGTGAAGATAAGTAATATACTCATTTTATTTGATTGTTAAATATCTATTTTTAGGTACATGAAATATCTTAAGATTATCCGTGGCTAGATAGAGTATTATGTGAGGTATATCAAGTTGTTGAAAGCAATGTAGCAAAAATTCCGCTGTTATGTGAAAGTTATTACAGTAGTGGTCACCTCGCTTTTAATGTCCGACAGGGTCATGATAAGTCCCAAGCTAGGACGAAACAGCTATACATTACT